GTAATTATCGTATAAATACAGCAGCTTCATAAAGTAAAGTAATTTATGGTTATTATTTACATATATATTTATGTACATTAGCAAATTCACTCGTTTAGCGTATAGTACATATTTTTTTCTTTTTTTTCAATTTTAATTTTAAGCTCATCTACAACAAAATGGTCTGTATACAGTGGTATAGAGCATTTAGCGATTGTTGAATTGAACCTTTCAATGGTAGTTTTTGCATGCAACATAATGTTGCAATAAAAAATACTAGGCGTATTCTCGAAGTCTTGCACGATGCACGGATTGCACGAAATGCAAAAATACTATTCCAAATTTCGAAGAGTACGAGAGCACCGCATTGCAAAGTGGTAGCATGCATGGGTAGCAAGCAGCGAAATTATGTATCAAATACAATAACAAGAGACAGTAAAAAAATAAAGTGGTGTTCCCATCAGAGAACATCCTTGAGTATGATCGAGCCTTTTTGATCACACTCACTAAAAATCAAGCACAAGAGAACGCCACACTCGGCTACTATGTGTGCGATCGAGATGCATACCCGACAGCTGCTTTGGTTACGAACGAGTCTGTTCGATCACCCTCGCTATAAATTGAGCACAAGCGAACACCACACTCGGACACCCGCAGCTAACCCGAAAATTTGTGCAACAATGAAACGGACACCCGAACATTGCGATAAAATGCAGGACAACAAAGAAATTTACGCTGAAGGTAACTGGCGCCAATATGTTCCCACAAAGCATACGAAAATGTTGTTGCTTTGTGCTTGTGCATACGCAATGAAAAAATTAGAAGCGAAGTAGACAAAAATGTTTTTGCATCTATTTCGTATAGTTTCGCGTGGAAAGCTGTGTGTGTATATATTAGAACACAGCCTAAAACTATGTAGGTGCATAAGTACTTTTACAAAAAATAAATGTGCACCGAGTGTATAGGGCTTGGGCATTGCCGATCTACACACATTTATACCTAAATGGATGTAGGCGTCGTGATGCCGCATTTTGTATGAGCAAAAATATAAGAAATGGTTAAATGTACACTTAAACAAACTACCGAAAAAGTCAACCTTCTCTTTACCCTCTACGCACAAAAACTAAGAACACCGCGATGAGAAGGCAACATTTTTTGTAGAAACAAAAACGTCATAAGCCAATCAAGAAAATTTTGTGCACACTCGGGTTGAAACTCGAACACCCGGGTATATTGAGCTGCAAAGCACCCGAACCCAATCAAGTATGTATGAAAAGCAATCGGGTGTTGTGGCCAACATGTTCGTCTTGAGCTCAGTCGATAACGAACAATACTTCTGCTCGTATACAGAGAACGATGCAAAACGGGTTTTGTTAGATGATCGAGTATACACGAAAATCATGCACCCGCTGCAGATGTCTGGTTCCCATGTATTTTGTTGTTGTGTGCTTGCAAGCTATGCAATCCATGCAATCTGTGCTACGTGCAATGGCTTTGCAAGATTTGGAGAATACCCCTACTAGTTTACTAAAGACAACAAGTGCACGCCATTAACACATATAGTACATGCACATGCACGAGTATGTATGTATGTACATATGTGTCGATGGGTACTGTATGTGTTTACGCCCTGTCTGGTGTAAAGTTATGCTTCACTTAAGTCTTTATT